GCAGAAATAATGAGTTAAAAATGAAGTACTTGGACGTTGACACAAGTCAATGATGATCTAAAATTACCTCTGGAGTCAAGAGAAGTCGCAACGAGGTTGACAGCCAAGCCAAAAGCTCTGGCTAAGCAAACAGAAAAAGAGAAGTCTCCTTCTCCAACTAGGAGTATCCTCTGATAGCTGCTGTAATGCTTAATCTTCCTCTCAAAGCTAAAAGCTTCCATTTGTGATTTGATTCTCTCTCGCTCTCTTAACTAAGAGAATTCAGAATTCTTTTTTTCTCTTTCTGGGAAAGAAGAGAGTCAGAACTCTTTGACTTGTTGATATTTCTTGGGTACTTACTGTGAACATTTTTTAGTTGGTATTTAACTCGCGCAACGCTTGCACTCTTCGCACCCTTTTGATTTGAGAAGCACATACACGCATTAGGAGGAAAAGTGTCTCTGTGTGTCACATCATATTAAACTAACGTCTCCACTTATCACTTTTGGGCTAAACGTTAGTTTAGTGTTTTTTAAGCATCCTAATCATCTGTTTGGATTTTCCCTGTACGATTGGTTAATTTTTCTTCTTCACACGTCACACTATTAAAATTTCATTTAAGAGACTCTAATGTTGACACATCACACATAAAACCCAAATGCCTCACATTTTTTTTTTTGTTATAAATTTTCCTAAACCTAACGTGTGTTGCAGCCGTTTAGTCTCGCTTCCATTTTTTTTTTTTTCATTTCTTTTCAGTTTCTCTCTTTCTTCCAAAGACACCATTATCTTCTCCACGTCTCTACCTTGATCACGTTCTTTAATATTTGGATTGTAAGACGAGCATGATAATCTTCCAGTGAGAGACTAAAGCATTTGAATGTCTGAATTAAAAAGTAAATTGGATTTTTTATTTAAAGGATGATGTGTCCAATTTAAACCTCTTAGATTAAATTTTAATGAGGTGTCATGTGAAGAACAATAGTAGCACTCAAAATCTAAATTGGAAATAGTTTAATTATTTAATTAAATGATTGTCATTTTAATTTTTTTTGAAACATCATATTTGTTTATTTTGTTGGCAATAACTACATACTTTAATGGTTTTTAATTTGTTTAATTTTTTGTACGGATATTTATGAATAAAGAGTTGAAAAATATATGGTTCGAATTGCTAAAATACAATATTTAGAATAATATTTGTTTATTTTGTTGGCAATAGCTACATATTTTAATGGTTTTTAATTTGTTTAATTTTTTTGTAGAGATATTTATGAATAAAGAGTTGAAAAACATACAGTTTTTTTTTTTTTGGGTCAAACTAAAAATATACAGGTTGAAATACAATATTTAGAAAGAGGCTCTTTTAAAGTTATATAGAAAGATAATTAATAGCAATGTAAAAGGAAGTAGTTTTGAAATTCAACAAAAAAAATAATGGTAATTATTTTCCTAATTTGCGCCTTCTTTTAGACTTCCTTTACTCATATTATCAAACCAACTAAACAAGTGCAGCCTTACATTTTGGAAAAACAGAAATAAAATGTGCGTGCAGGTAGTGAATACTAAGCAAGGTCTAAAATATCGGAGATTTGGGAAATATCGGTGGTTTCAAAGACACGGAAATATTGATGAAAATATTGATATCAGTAGAATTGAATAAAAATAATGGAAATTGTAAGAAAAACTTGGAAATTTTGATTGAAACTTTAGAGGATGTTTATTTAGTCAATTATCTATTTGTTTTATCACAAAATGTTGAAAAGAAATGCATTACATGGTGGGTTTGGTTGATTTAAATTGATTATATAGCAAGTTGACAAACACTGTGAGTATAGAAAATATGTAGTAATTAATGAAAGAAGATTAAACATACCATATAATCATTCATTTATAATGATTTACTCCAATATTTTACACTTTATATAATGCATGGTAAGATACATGAGTGACTTAGTACCACACAGAGTTCCTATGAGATTCAAAATTTTCATTGTCTTCATCATTTCTATGTGTAGTATGCGTACTATGAAGAGTAGTCATCCAAATGAAAAATCACCAAAATAATTTTGCATGTAATTATTAACATGTCATCCATATGGATCCAAGATTGGTTGATGTTGCCCATAAACAAAATCATTTGAAGATTGGGTCTCAGATTCTTTCCATGAGCTGTGCAATTCCATCCCAAAAGGCATCGAATCCCTTTGTGTGCGCACATGGAACTGTGGTTTTTTTTTTTTGTTGTCTTTTTTATTCCATATACATATCCTGATATTTTTTATATTATCAATAATATTATGATATTTTGTCCATATGTTGATGAAGAGAGAGCGAAATTCTCGAGTATGAAATTTCCTCGATATTAACGCTGAAATTATCAATACTTATATGATAAGTGCATGGATAGATTTCAAAATATTCTCCTCCCAAAAAAAGATAATATCCTCTATATTCGTGGATATTATGCCGACAAAGGAAACTAGGGGTGGGCATTGGAATCGAAGAATCAATCAACCAAACCCAACTAGACTGGAAAAAATTGAAAACAATCGTGTTGACCAAAAAGTCAAACCGAATTCAAAAAACCAAACCGAACCAGTTCTAACTGAATCCCGTTTTGGTTCTATACCCCTAACAAACCGAATTGGGCCGAACCGAACCGGCTAAATTAAAAAATATATAATTGTAATATTTATTTATATCCAATGCTATATTTTTAATCTTATAACTAATATTTACCCAAGTTCAATTTCAAAACATCCCTCTTTTCTAGTCTTAATATTTCTTTTTGCATGAAATTGAATAATTTGTTAATTTTCAAGCCAACAAAATAAAATTTCAATTGAAATTTGTATAAAAAAATAATTTGAAATAATAATAATAATAATAATTCAGTTCCAAATTGAACCAGATCGGAATTGGACCTAAATAGGTTCAACTTGAATCGGACAGTTTTATAAATTTTTTTGTTAAAGCCAAACCAAACCGAACTGAGTAAATAGTATTGGATTCGATTCCAATTTAAAGTAACAATCGATCCAAACCAAACTGTGCCCAACCCTAAAGGAAACTTCGCGTAAATTAATATTTTGTGGAAACGGTTTGTATTTCCAAAATGAAGGCAAATTACTTTGTCAAATCCCCTGCTGCAACTTCGCCTGTTTATAAAGTTAAAAAGCAAATGGACAATACTAGGTTGCACCACCTACTATCTCAAGATAATGACATGACATTGACATATATTGCACACAATTAATAAAGTGTTTTCTTTAGGGCATTTGCCTCAGCCCAAATGTTTTCTTCCTTTCTAAGCTCTCTAAATAAGTGCAAGACATCTACAATGTCAGCTGACCATAAACTAATGCTCAAAGCACTAGGGTGGAAACTAGAAGCAGCACCAGGGTGCCACTAGTTGGAGATGCTATTACATTTTATAAAATAGAGATGATAATTTTGTAACATCCCACATCGACCAATAGAGAGGGGGTGATGTGTCTTATATGTGCATACCCGCCTCCATCTAGCACGAGACTTTTTGGGAGCTCACTGGCTTCGGAGTCATAGGAACTCCGAAGTTAAGCGAGTTGGGGGCTAGAGCAATCCTAGGATGGGTGACCCAATGGGAAGTTGTTCGTGAGCTCCTAGAAACAAAATAATGAGGGCAGAGAGGGGGGCCCAAAGCGAACAATATCGTGCGACGGCGGAGCCGATCCCAGGATGTGACAAATTTTCTCTCGTGTAAGAGTCTTTGTGGGGTTTCGATCCTAATGGGTCAGGTCTGAAAGATAAAAATAGGTATGGAGATGGGTTCGGGGAATTTTTCAAGTATGGTGTTTGGGGAGAGGTTGGGATGGCATTCTGATCCTTGACCCCCTTCCCATTTAGAATATATAAAATTTATTTTTCATAAATATTAGTAAGATGTGTGATGGTGATGCTAACTCTATAATGATCATGTCTTTGAAATGTAGTTTTGACATGTATTTTTTTTTTATAAATAGACTAGAATTTTTGTTAATAGTGTTCTTTTTGTGTACAACAAACTAGCTTTTTATTCGTTTTTTTTTGGGTAATGGGTAAGGTCGGGAAACCCATTCCCCAACGAAGGCAGGGATGGGGAATCCCCAACCACCCCCGATTCGACCTATTGTCATCCCCAGCGTGTAGGCAGTGGTGCCTTGAAGTTGAACATAGTGTTTTTATTTAGTGAATCTTCATATCGTTATAATTGACGCTCCAAATTTTAGGCGTTATTTGCCCATATTTATAATCTTTTAAACCAAATGGTCCACCAAGCAATGCTTTGGGCTTTGTTACGGGTGTGTTTTTAATTTTTAATTGTTAAATTTGTTACAGGAGCACCAATGAAGAGAGAGACACTCACATGCAAAGGGAGAGAAACTTTCTTGCTATCTCCATTACAAAAATTTTTTGGTTTTCCAATGGAGGACATCACTTTCTATAATTTATTATTATTTTATTTATGCCTTTCTCTTTTTTTCAATTAAATACAAGACACATTTGACGGAAGGAAAAAGTGTACGTCAGACTCACATGTATGAGCAGAGCCGGTCCATTAGATATGGAGGCCCTGTGCGAAGAAAGCTAATGAGGCCTTATATGTATAAGTTAAACAACAATTTTTCAAAATTTAAAATTCATAAATCATAAATTAAACCGAAATATGTGGCATCAATTACATTAGGACCCACAAATAGAATCAAGATCATCCTTCATATATTTTCACATACTCACATCCATTCAATTTTCTTTTACATACAAAAAAAACTGCACATACCCACAAATATAATATAATATTGGGCTTTTAAAAACATTTGGAAGCCCCTAAATTTTGGGGGCCCTGTGCGGTCGCACAGCCCACACATGCCATGGGCCGACTCTGTGTATGAGAGAGTTGGTCAGCAATATATAAATAAATGTGGTATATGTTAAATTGCCATGTAAGCCATCAAATTTCAATTAGTTATTTTACATTTGACATTTCCCTTAGACATGCATTAATAATGATATGGAGATCTCAATTTCTTGTTCTTTTTTCTGGGTCGAGATGGAGATCTCAAATTCTTGTGGCCATGCTTTGGCTTCTTCCTCTCCAAGCTTTCTAAATAAGTGCAAGCCATATCTACTATGTCAGCTGACCATAAACTAATGCACAAAGCACCGGGGTGGAAACTGGCAGCAGAGCGCTTGGCAAATATGAAGGTGCTTGACATTCCAACAGGAAAAGTTTCATCACACATCCCAACTCCTCTTCTATTTTCATAACCTGGATAATCCCACAGTGAGAACTGTTCTTCATCAACCAGGCGTAACCCAACCTCTTGTGCTAACTCCACTATTTTCCATTCACTGAAAGGAAATGTTGTCTTGTGTGTTACATGAATCTCTCCTACCACAGTCAGCATTTCGTGTGCATTCTTGAAGAATCGCCTCACCAAATCCTGATGAAACCTGAAAATGCATGAATTTAATTTCGAATTCAAAATCCTCTGTTCACATTTTTGTGCTAGTTTTCGCTGCTTATGCTCAATTCTTCATTTAATGCATGCATATATGGGTTTGTGTGAACTTACCAAATTTGGAACCGTTCAGAAGAAAAGGGACCGTGCACGTAACCAGCGTGAGGAAAATTATAGATTATGCGATCAAAGCGTAAACCAATCAACAAAGGGTGTTGGCTCATTCTGTTGACATCTACCTTATGCAATACTATGCATCCCCTGGCCTCTAATTCCTCCACATTGTTTATAGCTTCTGAATACTTCAGCATCAAATACTCTACAGTTAGCATGCAAAGGATTCAATCAGGATTTAGAAAACCCTCTCGTTTAAACAAAAAGATTGCATCTTAGGACCCCTCTATCTATCATTTCACCATCGATGATCTACAATCAGCATGCAAACTATTTCAATCAAGAACCTTCCGGGTTTTTTTATTTTCTTTTGGAAAGACAAAATCTTTGGTCCCCTCTATCTATTATTTCATCTGGGTCATTACCAAAATGTAAATTCTAAAACCAGACACAGACCTAAATTGCAGATAGAAAAAGTAACCAAAGAATTGGCTTGCTTGAAAGCCAAGGAATTGGCCAGAAATAATGAGTAAAAATTGAAGTCCTTGGACGTTGACACAAGTCAATGGTGATTAAAAAAATTACCTCTGGAGTCAAGAGAAGTCGCAACCATGTTGATAGCCAAGCCAAAAGCTCTGGCTAAGCAAACAGAAAAAGAGAAGTCACCTTCTCCCACGAAGAGTATCTTATGATAACTGCTGTAATGCTTAATCTTTCTCTCAGAGCTAAACACTTCCATTCTGATTTGATTCTCTATTCTTCTTCAACTTTCCCAGAATTCCTTGACCTGCTATTATTCTTCTCTTTGGGGACTTAAAACCGTGGGGACAGAATACTCGTCGAACGCTTCACTCGCTTAGCCCTCGCCCTTTTGATTTGAAAGCCTGTCAAATTAAAACAACATCTCTGCTTTATCATTTTAGGCTAAACTTTAAACTTTGGTAGTTTAAAGCTATATAAAAAGATAATTCAACAAACAAAAAGGATGAACTTTTGAACATGAAAGGAAAAAAAAAAGTTGAAAGAGTTAGTGCATGAAAGGAATCTGTTCGCTTCACACAATGATGTAGTAGTTGTCGGGTTTGCAAAAACTGATTTGCATTTTGAATTTTGATTTGGAAGACTAAAAGAAGTCAAGAGTGCATCTGTTTGTATTGAAAATTCTGGTCAGATTGATCGCTTCAGGTTTGTATTCATACGGTCCTTGTTTTCATTGAGAACGTTGAAGTAAATGTCTCTGTCGTTCTACTTAACTTTTATTTTAAGTCTATGTATTCTTTACTTTTATCTGAAGTCAAGGTATACTTTACTTTTATTTAGTGAAAGGGAGAACTCTTGTAAATCCCCTCAAGGGCAACCACGTAAATGAATGTTGTATGGAATCAATTTGTACGAAGGCAAATTTACCTTCGTCCAAACCCTTTGAGACAATTTTGTCTTTTTGAAAATTTAAAAGCAGCCAATGGGGTTGTACTGCAGTGGTCAAGCGGACCCCTTCCACATCCCCCCATGTGGCACCCAGGTTCGAAACCATAGCCATAAACTAATGCTTTGGCATCTTCCTTTCTAAGCTCTCTACATAAGTGCAAGCCATATCTACAATATCAGCTGACCATAAACTAATGCTCGAAGTACCAGGGTGGAATCTGGAAGCAGCATACCTTTGAGCAGAAGTAAAAAGGTAATTTTTCAGGATTGTTATGTAAATATTAGAAGCAAATACATTAATGAGGTAACTTTAATGTCCAAGTATATATCTTATAATATGGATTTTCGTAATTTTTGTTTTGAATGATAAGTTTTGTTGCTGCAAGTGCAAGAGTACAACAACATAACTCCAAATAAAGATATTGTATTGTACATTGAATTGAGACAAATCAAGGACCAAGAACAATATTCTTGGTTGGTGATGAGTTCCAAATTAAATTCTTGATAATTTGGTTAACTTTCTTTTTCGTTTTACTTTCTTATAATAATTTTTTGTTATAGTGAACTAACGAAAATACTCTTACACTTAACGGAAATTTTAACGGAGTTAGACGTAGGTGGTGAATTGCAACACTCCACAAAGTTCAAAAATAAAAAATAAAAATTCAGGTGGTATTGACGCAATGCCGAAAAGTTCAGGTGAGATTTATGCAAAATTCCCAAAACTAAATAAATAACTTACAGAACAAGAAACAAAATAATGTACCATGATGCTGAGACATGTCAATGTTGATCTAAATACTGGAGTCAAGAGAAGTTGCAACCATGTTCCTAGCAGAGCCAAATTGTCTGGCTAAGCAAAGAGCAAAAGAGAAGAAGTCTCCTTCTCCAACTAAGAGTATCTTCTGAAAGCTGCTGTAGTGCTTGGACTATTGAATATCTTGCAGGTCAGGGAAAACTGTTAACCTCCCAATTTGATCTTAAAAGCATATAAAAAAACTCCAACACGCGTGCAAGTTGGTAATTGAAAGGTTTCCTATTTTAATGTTCTTTCTAAGTCCGGTCATGTTCCATTTCCATGTTGTGTTATTTAATAAATTTGGGACTTGCTGGAAAACCAGTAATGTTTCAACCCTACTGATGCATTAAACAGAAACCAATTCGGCTTACGAAATTCACTTGCTTAAACATTGCAGGGTTCAAAACACAACAAACTTCAAATAAACTAAAACAAAGCTTGATGTGGCCTAGAGCATCAACCATGCACTACTAGTACTCTCCAACCACCAAGGAGGAAACTGGAAGCAGTACGAATGGTACTCGGAAAATTTGAAGGTGCTAGACTTTCCAACAGGAAAAGTTTGGTCACATATCCCAGCCCCTCTCTTATTCTGATAACCTGGATAATGCCACAATGAGAAACTCACTTCATTGACCAAAAATAGCCCAGCCTCTAGCGCTAACGTCACTATGTTCCATTCACTAAACGGATATGTTGTCTCGTGTGTCACATGAACTTCTCTTGTTTCAGTCAGCACTTCTCGAGCACTCTTGAAGTATGCCCGCACCAAATTCTGATGTGACCTGAAAATCCGTGGTTTAATTTTAATCCAATTGATCATAGTACAGTCATATGCCAGATTTCAAAATTATGCACTTTTCACTACCTATTATGGTAAATAATGGGTACAGTCACTTTGCTCCTCATTTTGACGGAAAAAAGTAATAAGAGTTACTTTAGGACTTTTGTTACAAATGAAAGTTGTGTTGAAGGGCTGTGAAAGCCATTTTGAAAGTTGAGAAATTAAAGCTCAAGTGGGTACAACAAAGTTTGAGGACTATAGCTCTTAAAAAAACCTTTTTATTTATTTATAATGTTTTGAGAATACGTATTTATGATGCTTGAAATACATTTGATATATAAGAACCAATTTGTCATCATCAAAACATTTACAATGCTTTATTTTAGAGCATCCACAATGAGCTCCCTAAACTACCTCCTTAGACCAATTTTAGAGAGGAATTGTAAGAATACAATTCCAACCATGCTTCCTATCCACCTCCTAAAATAGGGAGACCTGTAGAAACTCCTAAATCTGATGAGAGAGAAATGACTCCTAATGGCTCCTTATAATTTAATGCTACTTTATTTAATGAGTATTTCAAACCTTTATTTTATAATATAGATGGACCAATGAAAAAGAGTTATAGCATTTATAACTCTCTAAACTAGAGAGCACGATTGAAGTTTAAATTTTATAGAGAGCTCATAAAATAACTTTTATATGTTTTTAGCTAAAATCTAAGTAAAAAATAGAGAGCATGATTGTGGATGCTCGAAGCCGGTGCTTCTTAGCTTCCTTCCTCTGGAAGCTTTCTGTCAACAAGTCAACTAAACAAATAGCAACCTTACATTTTGGAAAAACCGAACTGAAATGTGCGTGCAAGTTTTAGTGGTTTTTTTTGTATTTAAATACTTACTAGCCTCTCCATACGGCCTTCCGCATATGCGAGAGGTTTTTCTTGTAAAAAATTTTAAATTTATTTTAGAATTAAAAAAGATAATGGGTAGTTGTGTTCCATAAAAATAGGATCTATTATCTGATTTTTCTTTTAATTTTAATTTTTTTAAATATGAAAAAGTGTGAATTTACCATATTATCCTCATTTAATTAATAATTTCAATTCTTAATGTTTGCATTAACCAAGAGCATTTTCTGGTATTTTGAATGTTTTACCATTCTCTATCTTTTGTTTTATATATATATTGTTCAAAACTCTGAAGTAACAAATAATAGTCTACAAAGTGCCATAAAGGTCAACAAAAAATGAAAGATGTTAAATTTGAATTTGACGGCTTAAGTCAGAATTTAGCACTTTGTAAATTTTTAAATCCACATAAAATATCAAATACTATATTATTTTATTAAAGTTTTAAAAGAAAATGGGACTCGTATGATGGATAAAACTATAAAAGAGGGAAATTTATAGTGGAGCCCAATGTTAAAAAAATATTTAAAAAATATTTAAGATCAACCTTTATGAGATGTTATTTTGATATCAACACATTAACCAAAGGTTTATTTATTGCTCACCACCTTTAGATTATGTCTTTCTCTTTCTTAGAGCATCTCCAAGAGAGTATCCAAATTTTAGCCAAATTATAAAATAGCTAGAAAGCTATTATAGCAAACCATATAGGTTTTTTGCACTGGCAATGTTCTCTATTTTAGCTAATATGAAATATTTTTATTATTATTTTCTTTTTCTTTTTCTCGCTCTTTCTCTTGCAAATCAAATATATTAAAAAGAAAAGTTGAAATCCAACCCCACCAACCTCCCAAATGTCTCTACCCCTTTTTTCTCTCTCCTCCTAGCCAAATTCTCTCTCCTCCTTGCTAGATGTAGAGAGCCAAAAGTTGGTTCTCCAAAATAGAGAGCCAAGTACGGAGTCTGCTGGAAATAGGATTTTCCTTCTTTTTAGCCAAAGTAGCTAGTGATGAGAGGATAGAGAATCTGCTGAAGATGCTCTTAAGTTACTATTGCTTTATTAATTGCTTATTTTATTAAATACAAAAGACACATTGGCCCAGTGGAATGAATTGCCATGTAAGCTATCAAATTTCAATTTAATATAATTTATTTTTTTTACAAGAATTTCAATTTAATATTTTACATTTGACATTTTCCTTAGATGCTCTAACAACAGTAGTGAGGATTGTGATCTTGGAAATCTTCAAATCTTATGGAGGTCTCAAATTCTTGTGGCCATGCTTTGGCTTCTTCTTTTCCAAGCTCTCTAAATGAGTGCAAGCCATATCTACTATGTCAACTGACCATAAACTAATGGTTAAAGTACCAGGGTGGAAACTGGAAGCAGCACATGAACAGTCCCATGGTGAGAACTCTTCTTCTTTAACCAAAAACAAGCCAACCTCTTTTGTTAACTTCTCCATTTCCCTGTCACTGAAAGGATACGAAGCCCTGTGCATCTCACTGGAACTATTCAAGTATCCCATCACAAAATGCTGATGCAACCTGAAAATTGAAAAAAAAGAAGCATGATTTTAATCTAATGAACTTAGAAGATGGGCCTAGAGTACATGCTATTTGGGCTAGCACGAGTAGTGAGCTCAATTTAAGTAGGTCAGAATGACCCGATTAGCTCGGTTGCCACCTTTAGATGTGATCTCATGATCGATAAGAAAACGTACGTACATGACTTTACTTGAACTTACCGGTCGAGTGATCAAAGTGAGGAAAATTAAATATTATTTTATCAAACTGCATCTTGATAAGGAGAGGGTGATAGTGCATGGTATGCACATCTATGCCATGGAATATTTTGCATCCCCTGATCTCTAATTCTTATATGTGCTTACTTTCTTTCAACAAGTTAAGCAAAAGCACAGGACAAAATTCAAGTGCTCTACCCCTTGAACTATAAAGCCTTGCCATATTCAATAATAGTACTTGTATATTTTGGCATATCCCAGTAACATCCACTATGCCAAAATTTGACTTAGGCAACGGTGTCCGTTGCCTATGTACCCACCCTACCGAGGTATTCGTCCCTGCCAGATTTCAACAAATTGAAATAGAAGAAAACAAAATTTAAATGATGGGGCTTACCGTTGCATGTGAGGAACATCAATTCCAGAACATCCAGACCATGAAGTGGTAGAACTGTACAACAGCTTGGCAAATTTGAAGGTGCTAGACATTCCAACATGAAAAGTTTTATCACACATCCCAGCTCCTCTCTTATTTTCGTAACCTGGATAATCCAATAGTGAGAACTGTTCTTCATCAACCAGATATAACCCAACCTCTTTTGCTAACTCCACTATTTTCCATTCAGTGAAAGGAAATGTTGTCTTGTGTGTCACATGAATTTCTCCTATCGCAGTCAGCATTTCGCATGCATTCTTGAGGAATCCCCTGACCAAATCCTGATGAAACCTGAAAATGCATGAATTTCATTTAGAATTCAAAATCCTCTGTTTACATTTTTGTGCTAGTGTTCTGCTTATGCTCAAAACTACATTGTTTCCATTCTTCATTTAATTACCCTTCTAATATAATCCTAAACCCTTTCCCCTAAAATAAACACATTATGAACACAAAATACCATAGAGCATATACCATGATTCTTAAAAAGGGCTGGATGGGTTTGTTTGAACTTACCAAATTTGTAACCTGTTGCGTTCAGAAGAAAAGAAACCGGCGTGAGGAAAATTATAGATTATGCGATCAAAGCGTACCCTAATCAAGAAAGGGTGTTGGCTCATGCTGTGGACATCCACCTCATGCAATACTTTGCATCCCCTGGCCTCTAACTCCTTCACATTGCTCATAGCTTTTGAATAATTCAGCATCAAAGACTCTACAATTAGCATGCAATGCAAAGATTCAATAAGCAAACCTTCCAGGTTTTTGTTCTCTTTTTGAAAGACAACATCTGTGGTCCTCTCTATCTATTATTTCCTTTGGGTCATTACCAAAATGTAAATTCTAAAACCTGACACAGAGTTAAATTGCAACCAAATTTAGAGTTAGTTGGTTGTTTTTATTTAAATTTCAAATTGGGTTGCTTGAAAACCAAAGAAATGGGCAGAAATAAACTTGGACGTTGACACAAGTCAATGGTGATCTAAAATTACCTCTGGAGTCGAGAGAAGTCGCAACCATGTTGACAGCCAAGCCAAAAGCTCTAGCTAAGCAAACAGAAAAAGAGAAGTCTCCTTCTCCGGCTAAGAGTATCTTCTGATAGCTGCTGTAATGCTTAATCTTTTTCTCAAAGCTAAACACTTCCATTCTGATTTGATTTTCTCTTCTCCTTCAACTTTCCCAGAATTCCTTTTTTTTTTTTTTTTTTTGGGACTTAAAACAGTTTGAGTCGGTATTAATACACGTCGAACGCTTACAAATTAAAACATCATCTCTACTTAAAGTTTGGTATTTTAAAGCTATATAAAACAATAATTCAACAAAACAAAGGATGTACTTTTGAACGTGAAGGAAAAAAAAAAGTTGACAGAGATAGTGCATGAAAGGAATCTGCTCGTTTCACACAATGATGTAGTAGTTGTTGGGTTTGCAAAAACTGATTTGCATTTTTAATTTTGATTTGGAAAACTAAAAGAAGTCAAGAGTGCATCTGTTTGTATTGAAAAATCTGGTCAGATTGATTGCTTCGGGTTTCTGTTCATGCTGCCCCTACTTTCATTGAGGACGTTGAAGTAAATCTCTTTGTACTTCTACTTTACTTTTATTTTACGTTATACTTTTACTTTTAAGCAGCCTTACTTTTTGTTTAGTTAAAGATGTAACTCTTGCAAAATCATGTTCAATCTCCTACTTCATTCGGTGGAAACCCCTCAAGGGGACGACGACCACGTGAATGAATGTTGTGAGTGGAATCAATTTGTATCCGCAACACGACACTACCACAATATTTGTGCTCTTTCAAGTTTAAAAGCACAAATATTTGTGCTTAATACCAATAGCTACAGTGCAGCCATGGTCGGTTTCCTCTATAGGAGTTTCTTTTGCTCATAGAGCACAAATCTGTGATCAGTAGCAAAAGTTTAGGGCACGAATAAGGGATTTGTGCATCTATTCCGACACACTTTTCAATTGATGTAACTTTTGTACAGACCCTTTTGACACAATACTGAAATTGCTCAAGGAGTATACTTTCTTTATATATAAAAAATTAATTTATATGCTTGTGGTCTACGTTCTCTATGCCATTGTATGCGATTTTCTTAGAAGAAATATCTGCGTATTTTCCTGCGGATGATAATGATGCTAGTGGAGGTTCAGTTGAGGAGCATCGGCACAAACAAAGCCTTAAGATATTTGGAAGGACTGTACGGGAACTTCTAAATCACTGTCTTGTGATGTGAAGAAAGAGGAAAAACCTTCACAGCGCTATGGAATCTGCATCTGAGAATGTGGAATGGAACACGTTTGGGATAATTTTCCCTATGGAGTACATTAAGGCATCTATTTTATTCAATTTCAGAATTAAAAAGAAGAAGAAGAATCATGACAATTAATGATGATGAAAGCATTTTGAATGTTTCACCATTCTCTACCTTTTGTTTTATATATACTAGCCTATCCGCACACATTTTAGCGCTTGCAATAGGCTTTTTTTTTAAAAAAATTTTAATTTATTTTAGAATTAAAAAGTTAATGGATAGTTGTGTTCCATAAAAATAGGATCTATTATCTGATTTTTCTTTTAATTTTAATTTTTTTTAATATGAAAAAGTGTGAATTTATCGTATTATCCTCATTTAATTAATAATTTCAATTCTTAATGTTTGCATTAACCAATGGCATTTTCTGATATTTTGAATGTTTCACAATTCTCTGCATTTTGCTTTATATATATATATATATATAAAGAGATTAATAAAAGAATGAAGTTTGTAGAGTGTTCAAAACTCTGAAGTAACAAATAATAGTCTACAAAGTGCCATAAAGGTCAACAAAAAATGAAAGATGTTAAATTTGAATTTGATGGCTTAAGTCGGAATTTAGCACTTTGTAAATTTTTAAATCCACATAAAATGTCAAATAATATATTATTTTATTAAAGTTTTAAAAGAAAATGGGGCTCGTATGATGGATAAAACTTTAAAAGAGGGAAATTTATAGTGGAGCCCAATGTTAAAAAAATATTAAAAAAATATTTAAGATCAACCTTTATGAGATGTTATTTTGATATCAACACATTAACCAAAGGTTTATTTATTGCTCACCACCTTTAGATTATGCCTTTCTCTTTCTTAGAGCATCTCCAGGAGAGTCTCCAAATTTTAGCCAAATTCTAAAATAGCTAGAAAACTATTATAGCAAACCACTTAAAAATAAAATGTATTAAATATATTATTATTATTTTCTCTTTCTCTTTCTCCCTCTTTCTCTTAGAAATCAAATATATTAAAAAGAAAAGTAGAAACCCAACCCCACCAACCTCCCAAATGTCTCTATCTCTCTCCTTCTAGCCAAATTCTTTCTCCTCCTTGCTAGATGTAGAGAGCCAAAAGTTGGTTCTCCAAAATAGAGAGCCAAGTAGGGAGTCTGCTGGAAGGAGGATTTCCTTCTTTTTAGCCAAAGTAGCTAGGGATGAGAGGCAAACCTGTTCCACCAAGTACACCTCCAACATTGTCAGAACCATGATACTCTCTAGCAAGGGATAAGTGGCTCAAGTCGTTAGTAATATGAGTGTTCGCACCGGTATCAGCAACCCACTGTTGATTGCCACCATGTGAAGGATATTGAGCAATCATGCCTTGAAGATGAGAAGGAGGAGGAGGCACAGAAGACGCCTTGGAGGGATAGACAGCTTCGATGTGGCCAAAACCATGACAATAGAAACATTGAAGAGGTCCACGGGCAGAAGGAGGCCCAAAAGAGGAAGCAATAGAGCTAGAAGGAGGTGGGCCAAGAACACCAGGCCCAAAAGTGCTGCCAAAATGCTGTTGATGTGAGGCAGGACGAGAGGCACCATAGGAAGCGCCAAGGGAACTGTGACCAGAAGAAAAGCCAGGTCGGGAGGGAGAGAAGGAGCTGCGACGATCAGTACCACGACCAGCAAACCCACCGCGATTGCCAAAACCGCGGCCACCGCGACCACCATGGGAAGTGACCAGAGCCGTCGCACCAGAAGAGATGACTGGAGAAGAAGAAGATTGCAGGCGACGTTCCGCAGACAAGAGGAGAGTCTCTAGATCAGGCATACTGATGGGTTTCTCATCAGCTTGAGCATGTCATCTGAAACAGCTTGGCAAATTGCAAATTTGAAATAGAAGAAAACAAAATTTCTATGATGGGGCTTACCGTTGCATGTGAGGACCATTAATTCCAGAACATCCAGACCATGAAGTGGTAAAACTGTACAACAGCTTGGCAAATTTGAAGGTGCTACACATTCCAACATGAAAAGTTTTATCACACATCCCAGCTCCTCTCTTGTTTTCATAACCTGGATAATCCAATAGTGAGAACTGTTCTTCATCAACCAGATATAACCCAACCTCTTTTGCTAACTCCACTATTTTCCATTCAGTGAAAGGAAATGTTGTCTTGTGTGTCACATGAATTTCTCCTATCGCAGTTAGCATTTCGCATGCATTCTTGAGGAATCCCCTGACCAAATCCTGATGAAACCTGAAAATGCATGAATTTCATTTAGAATTCAAAAATCCTCTGTTTACATTTTTGTGCTAGTGTTCTGCTTATGCTCAAAACTACATTGTTTCCATTCTTCATTTAATTACCCTTCTAATATAATCCTAAACCCTTTCCCCTAAAATAAACACATTATGAACACAAAATACCATAGAGCATATACCATGATTCTTAAAAAGGGCTGGATATATGGGTTTGTTTGAACTTACCAAATTTGTAACCTGTTGCGTTCAGAAGAAAAGAAACCGGCATGAGGAAAATTATAGATTATGCGATCAAAGCGTACCCTAATCAAGAAAGGGTGTTGGCTCATGCTGTGGACATCCACCTCATGCAATACTTTGCATCCCCTGGCCTCTAACTCCTTCACATTGCTCATAGCTTTTGAATAATTCAGCATCAAAGACTCTACAATTAGCATGCAATGCAAAGATTCAATAAGCAACCTTCCAGGTTATTTTTTTCTCTTTGTGAAAGACAACATCTTTGCTCCCCTCTATCTATTATTTCCTTTGGGTCATTACCAAAACGTAAATTCTAAAACCTGACACAGAGTTAAATTGCAGACAGATAAAGTAACCAAATTTAGAGTTAGTTGGTTGTTTTTATTTAAATTTCAAATTGGGTTGCTTGAAAACCAAAGAAATGGGCAGAAATAAAGAGTAAAAATTGAAGGACTTGGACGTTGACACAAGTCAATGGTGATCTAAAATTACCTCTGGAGTCGAGAGAAGTCGCAACCATGTTGATAGCCAAGCCAAAAGCTCTAGCTAAGCAAACAGAAAAAGAGAAGTCTCCTTCTCCGGCTAAGAGTATCTTCTGATAGCTGTTGTAATGCTTAATCTTTTTCTCAAAGCTAAACACTTCCATTCTGATTTGATTTTCTCTTCTTCTTCAATTTTCCCAGAATTCCTTTTTTTTTCTCTTTTGGGACTTAGAACAGTTTGAGTCGGTATTAATACACGTCGAACACTTACAAATTAAAACATCATCTCTACTTAAAGTTTGGTATTTTAAAGCTATATAAAACAATAATTCAACAAAACAAAGGATGTACTTTTGAACGTGAAGGAAAAAAAAAGTTGACAGAGATAGTGCATGAAAGGAATCTGCTCGTTTCACACAATGATGTAGTCGTTGTTGGGTTTGCAAAAACTGATTTGCATTTTTAATTTTGATTTGGAAAACTAAAAGAAGTCAAGAGTGCATCTGTTTGTATTGAAAAATCTGGTCAGATTGATTGCTTCGGGTTTCTGTTCATGCTGCCCCTACTTTCATTGAGGACGTTGAAGTAAATCTCTTTGTACTTCTACTTTACTTTTATTTTAAGTTATACTTTTACTTTTAAGCAGCCTTACTTTTTATTTTGTTAAAGATGTAACTCTTGTAAAATCATGTTCAATCTCCTACTTCATTCGGTGGAAACCCCTCAAGGGGACGACGACCACGTGAATGAATGTTGTGAGTGGAATCAATTTGTATCCGCAACACGACACTACCACAATATTTGTGCTCAATACCAATAGCTACAGTGCAGCCATGGTCGGTTTCCTCTATAGGAGTTTCTTTTACTCATAGAGCACAAATCTGCGATCAGTAGCAAAAGTTTAGGGCACGAATAAGGGATTTGTGCATCTATTCCGACACACTTTTCAATTGATGTAACTTTTGTACAGACCCTTTTGACACAATACTGAAATTGCTCAAGGAGTATACTTTCTTTATATATAAAAAAGTAATTTATATGCTTGTGGTCTTCGTTCTCTATGCCATTGTATGCGATTTTCTTAGAAGAAATATCTGCGTATTTTCCTGCGGATGATAATGATGCTAGTGGAGGTTCAGTTGAGGAGCATCGGCACAAACAAAGCCTTAAGATATTTGGAAGGACTGTACGGGAACTTCTAAATCACTGTCTTGTGATGTGAAGAAAGAGGAAAAACCTTCACAGCTATGGAATCTGCATCTGAGAATGTGGAACACGTTTGGGATAATTTTCCCTATGGAGTACATTAAGGCATCTATTTTATTCAATTTCAGAATTAAAAAGAAGAAGAAGAATCATGACAATTAATGATGATGAAAGCATTTTTTATGAATGCTTCAAAGTAACTTTCCAAAACAAAAAAACAAAAAAAGTTTCAATTGAAAAAGAAAGAAGAAAAAGAATGCTTACCACATATCAGTGGTGGAGCCAGGATTTTATTTGTGACCCTCTAACAATATATATATATATAAAAATTCGAATTCACAACACGACTAAGTGGACCAAAACACCATGTTACAGTCCTGAAACATTCCATCTTTTTCTAAGCAGATTCGAACTTCCCCCACAATTAATGTTCCATTATAACACTTTATATTTGCGAATTTGTTAGTCTTTTGCCTTATCACTTGAATGATCAAGCTAGGATAAAAATCCATCCCAACTGAAACTCCAGCATCCTCAAGCATCTTTGTCACATTAACGTCTTCATAAAATTTGAATGCGAAATTGAAGTAGTCTTTAGCAAGCAGATCAGAGTATTTATCATGGACTTTCCACTGTTTTTCCAAAGTTTTGTAGTCTCAGTCAAATCCTTCGCTGTTGGATTTAACCAGTACTCTTTCAGCTTGACAAAACAAGCTATTTCCTGCAAAATTTGAGTCATATGTGTAAAGTTGAAAAAGAAAACGTTGAACAAAAACCAAAAACAAAAAATAATACCGCAATCTTGAATTGTTCGCCAATGAAATCCCTTTGAGCTGGTAAAACTGATCTGCACCATGGATGCACATTAACATCATGATATGTTGGCCATAGACCATGGATGATAAATCTCTATGCAATGGGTATTAGGCCAAAAACGGTCTTTCATTTGCAGGCAGTAGGTATTAGGCCAAAATAGCGACAAGGTGTAAAAATTGAAAGGGTCGTATTCACCATATTTGCCAGCAACCGCGGGGGCTGACTTGGAGAGCACAATTAAACAAAATATAAGAATGCGCATCACACCTGGGAAAATTGGGGTTACGGTTTAGGGAAGGACTTCTATTACTCTATAGTTATTTCTTGGACCGCATCAACTACATATATCCATCATGAAAAACCATCACATATTAAATATATGGGTTCAGGGTAATCAATTTCTTATATTCAGAGTTTTCGCAAATAATTTAATTTTTATGATGTAATGTGTACTTTTATTTCTAGAAAAACTATAGGAACTAATTGTTGGAAGTTTGAATTAAATTCAAGAACCTTTGTCCCACATTGATAGAAAGTAGAAAGAGTGAGGTCCTTATAAGTGTGGAAGTGCCACACTTAGTAAATGGAAGTAGGCCAAGTGGAAGCAATTTGGGCTTCAAAATTGATTTGGGCTTTGAATATTATATAACAGTTGTGACTCTTCTGATAAGGTTTCAGAAGTTTATTTAAATCAAACAAGGCCTCATACGTTAGACACAGAAAAAAAGCGCATTTTCATATTGTCTGAGAGGAAAACAAACAACGTTCGCCAGATTCTAAGTCCGAGTGCTAGGGCTTAGAATATAGATAGTTGAATCCTGGGAGGCAGTCACCTGTAGAACTTCAAGCACCGAGAAGGGGTGAAATTACTGTCTTTAGGACATTGCATCAAATCTGCAAGCCTCTATCTCAAATTCAAGTCAGTTTTATTTATTGTTAATATATTATTCTGTGTTACAGATTGTTATATATTCTGTTTATATAATTGTTTTAATCAGTCATTGATAATTGTTTTTCCAACACTAATTAGTATTAAAATATATATCATTCGATTGGGTTGGTGAAACTGAAGACTCGAAGACTCGCCTCTATGTAATTATCACAGGGTCTCTATATTTTCAATTAGGGTTTTTGTGACATTGTAGATGCTAGCTTTAAACTAGAAGACTCGCCTCTATGTAATATCGATTGAAAACTATCAGGTTTTTGTTTCGTTTTATTTGATCCAAAAGCGATCAGATTAAATAAATATGGGACATTCAACAGTTATAAAATTTACAAATTTATAAATAAACCCAATTCTAGACATGTATTTATAAAAAAACCCAAGCACTATTTAAACATAGAAACACACCCAAAATCAACCCCAAAGTTAACTTTTTGGGTGTGTTTATAAATGGGTTTTGAGTGTGTGTAATGATGGGTTTTGGGTGTGTTTATATGTTTAAATAGTGCTCGAGTTTTTTTTATAATTTCAACCCCCATTTTAGGTGTTTTAGTGAAACTCCCTATAAAATTGTCGTGTTGTATTTGGAGAGTGTAATGAAGGAAGCTTGCGTTCAGACAATGAAGGAAGAGCAGCAACTCTGCAAGTTATTGGGTTGGTGAAAACCATTGTTTGTTCTATCCACAACTAAAGCAACAATCAAGACACATGAATCAAATCAACCACATGCTTGTAGCTCATAGGTCTTAGGTTTGTTTCCCCTCCCCCAATATCACTTGTATAAAAAGAAATAATAAGCCTGAAATTGAATCAAATAATAGGAATAACTAATGCACGACTAAACCATGACTCCATGACAACTTGGACTCTCCTATTAACTAGCAACTAAACAACCAAGTCCCTAAAGAATAGGACTTCCACAACTTAACAAGATAATCATAAACATAATAAATAGAATAATAAATATTCTTAACAAAGCAGCGGCAAAGCACCCAAGAGGCTGTAGTTGCAGGCTTGCAGCAACCACACCAAGTAAGAAGCGTTGCAATCCATTGCTTTAAATTCATTTTCAGAACAAACATCTCATCTCTTGGCTTCCTTCTTGTGAACTTTTCCATCACTACAATTCCAAAACCGTACACATCCTCTCTTGTTGAAACCATTCCTTCCAATCCATACTCTGCATTACGAAAAATCGGCCTAGGCAGCCTGGGCAGGTCTGGGCAGCGCTAGGCAGGTCTAGGTGCCGGGGTGGGTCTGGTTCATTTCTTTTGTTCTTAAAGCCTACTGCCAGCGATTTTTCAAACTCATGCACTGCAGGGCAGGTCTAGGCGGTGCTGGGAGGGTCTGAGAGGGTCTGGTCGACGCTAGGCGAGTCTGGGCGGCGCTAGGTGGGTCTGGGTGCCAGGGTGGGTCTGGTTCTTTCTTTTGTTCTTTAAGCATACTGCCTAACGATTTTTCAAACTCATGCACTGCAGAGCAGGTCTAGGTGGCGCTGAGAGGGTCTGGGTGGCACTAGGCGGTTCTGGGCGGTGCTAGGCGGGTCTGGGCGGTGCTAGGCGGGTCTGGGCGGCGCTAGGCGGGTCTGGGTGCTAGGGTGGGTCTGGTTTTTTTCTTTTGTTCTTTAAGCCTACTGCCTAGCGATTTTTCAAACTCATGCACTGCATAGCAGGTCTGGACGGCGATGGGAGGGTCTGGGCGACGCTGGGAGGGCCTGGGCGGCTCTAGGAGGGTCTGGGCGGCACTAGGCGGGTCTAGGCGGCTCTAGGCAGGTCTGGGTGCCAGGGTGGGTCTGGTTCTTTAGGGTTTAGGGTCTGGGTGCCAGGGTCTGGTTATTTTCTTTTGTTCTTTTAGCCTACTACCTAGCGATTTTTCAAACTTCATCTATCTTTGCATATATCTTTGCTAATTGCTCGCACAAGTCTCATTTTTGCATCTATCTCAAACTCCATTAGTAATCTGTCACATTTTTTTTCCAAGTACGTGTGCCATTTTCTTCTTTTTTTTCCATTAGTAATCGAGCAATAACTGTGTCAGATGCACCACCTTTTGACCCCAGCAATATTGTGTCATTGCAGGCACATTTCTGCAGCCACTTTCTTTTAGTCTATTCCTTCACTTCATTTTCTTGATGGGATTCAAAATTATGGCAGATCATGTTTAGCAAGTTTGAATTTGATGGGAAACTAAATCCTACTTTCGTGGAAGGGGCATTTAAGCTCCCATTATCAAGCATACTGTTGAAATATAAGTAGTGAGCTGATAGAAATGTAATTAGGCCTATTAAGCTAAATGGTGTATTCACTTAGTCACTAAAATTGACAAGTGTTTGGCGTTAGTAATGTAAAGTTGTGATAGCAACGTGTAACTCTCCTAGAGAGCAGTTTTGGATGTAAGGCTGTGATTCTCAGTGATGTAAGAGAATCCAGCTATTCTCTCTAACGGTTATATAGCTCACGCTGAGCTTGCTCTATTTTTCAGTCAGAGCATAAAATGAAAAATACACACTCGATTTGATTCACTCTCAGCTCTTCCTCTCTCTGCGTTTTCTTCTCCTTCTATTCACCATTATCTCTTCACGAAACTCTAACGAGCATATCTAAAAGAGCCTATTACTCCCAGGTTTCACATTCTTTTCATTTTGTTGGATTATCTTCTTATGACCAAACATAATTGATCTGCTAGGTGCACTTTCTGTTTTAGTCTTTAAAGAATCTCTTTGCTTGTGTTCAGTGCAGGTTCGTACACTTAAGTTCTGCAGGAGTTACCCGACCTGACAGGCCTGGACTTGATCTAAGTAAACAACCTCCTGCTGTTCGCTTAAACAAGGAATTGGATTTTATACTGACATTCAAGTTGAAGGTTTCATACTAATTCAGTGCACGCTGTTTGATATTTTTATATATAATCAGTGTATCAAAATACCACTTCTTAGCTCTTTTCTGTTCTTTTTCTTTTTCTGGGTCAGATTTAGCTCTTTCGATTTTGTACATTGATAAGTTTTGGAGATGGGGGAGGACTTAATACGGGAAATGGAATACCATATACAATTGTGAGGCCTTGTGCATTAACTGAGGAGCCTGCCGGAACAGATCTCATTTTCAACCAGGGAGACAATATAACGGTATATAATCAAATAGAAGATCACTATTCTCTCTTTGTTGTATCCCTGTGATGACATGTATTGCTCTTTCTTTCCCTTATAATAATAATAATATCTGAATGTTATGATTTATAGTATTTATATATGTGCAGGGTAAGATATCAAGAGAGGAGGTTGCTCAGATTTGTGTTGCTGTTGTAGTGCTTAATGGAACTGCTTGAACTATTGAATATCTTGCAGGTCAGGGAAAACTGTTAACCTCCCAATTTGATCTTAAAAGCATACAAAAAAACTCCAATACGCGTGCAAGTTGGTAATTGAAAGGTTTCCTATTTTAATGTTCTTTCTAAGTCTGGTCATGTTCCATTTCCATGTTGTGTTATTTAATAAATTTTGGCCTTGCTGGAAAACCAGTAATGTTTCAACTTTACTGATGCAATAAACAGAAAACAATTCGGCTTACGAAATTCACTTGCTTAAACACTACAGGGTTCAAAATCACAACAAACTTCAAATAAACTAAAACAAAGCATGATATGGCCTAGAGCATCAACCACATGGACAACTAGTACTCTCGAACCACCGAGGAGGAAACTGGAAGCAGTACGGGAGGTACTTGGAAAATTTGAAGGTGCTAGACTTTCCAACAGGAAAAGTTTGGTCACATATCCCAGCCCCTCTCTTATTCTGATAACCTGGATAATTCCACAATGAGAAACTCTCTACATCGACCAAAAATAGCCCAGCCTCTTGCGCTAATGTCACTATGTTCCATTCACTGAACGGATATGTTGTCTTGTGTGTCACATGAACTTCTCCTGTTTCGGTCAGCATTTCTCGAGCACTCTTGAAGTATGCCCACACCAAATTCTGATGTGACCTGAAAATCCATGGTTTAATTTTAATCCAATTGATCATAGTACTCTTTTATTTTAAAGAAATATAATGTTGCATAAATGGAATAGTTTGTTTGAACCCACAAAATTTGGAAAATGCTATATTCAGATGAAGAGAGACCATTCGAGTAACCCGAGTGAGGAAAATTATAGATTATCCGATCAAACTGCTTATTATAAAGGCGAGGGTGAAGGTTCATTGTTTTGACATCCACACAATGCAAAATTGTGCATCCCCTGTCCTCTAATTCCTTTAAGTTGCTCATAGCTTTTGAATAGTTCACCATTAAAAACTCTGCAAATATAATACAGACACATAAAGGATTTTACTATAGGAACCATTTAATTTTAATAGAAGAATAATCTTAGTTATGCAAGTATATGACTTGTAATCTTGATTTGGGTTTTCTTTTTCTTTTTTGTATGAAACAGTCAACATTGATCCAATTACCTCTGGAGTCGAGAGAAGTTGCAACTATGTTGGCAGCAGAGCCAAATGCTCTAGCTAAGCAAGCTGCAAAGGAGAAGTCTCCTTCTCCCACTAAGAGTATCTTCTGATAACTTCTATAAGCCTTGCTATATTCAATAGTACTTGTATATTTCGGCATAATCCAAGTAACATCACTGTAAATAATGGGTTCAGTCATATGCCTATTATGGTAAGTGATTCAATGAAGGAACATTATAGCTCTTTTGGTGTATTAACCCTGAAAACGATTTAGGCTCACGCAAGTCACTTGCTCAGTGTAGTATTAAAAATCACAACAAATTTAAATAAAATAAAACGCAATTCATGTACTGGGGCTTACCATTGCATGTGAGGACTAATAATTCCAGAATATCCAGACCATGGACCCGAAGCAGTAATGCCAAGGTTGAAACCGGAAGTGATATAACTGTGCAGCTTGGCAAATTTGAAGGTTATACACATTCCCACAGGAAAAGGCTGATCACAAATCCAAGCTCCTCTCTTATTTTCATAAGCTGGATAATCCAAAAGTGAGAAATGTTCTTCATGAACCAGATATAACCCAACCCCTTGTGCTAACTCCACTATTTTCTGTTCACTGAAAGGAAATGTTGTCTTGTGTGTCACATGAATTTCTCCTATCGCGGTAAGCATTTCGCTTGCATTCTGGAGGAATCCCCTTATCAGATCCTGATGAAACCTGAAAATGCATGAATTTTATATAGAATTCGAAATCCTCTGTTTACATTTTTGTGTGCTAGTGTTCTACTTATTCTCAAAACTACAATGTTTCAATTCTTTATTTAACTATCCTTTCTAATACAAATCCTAAACACTAAACCCTTTCCGCTAAAATAAACACATTATGAACCCAAAATACCATAGTGCATATACCATGATTCTTAAAAAAATGGCTGCATATATGGGTTTGAGTGAACTTACCGATTTTGGAACCCGTTGCATTCAGCAGAAAAGGGACCGTGCAAGTAACCGACGTGAGGAAAATTATATATTATGCGATCAAAGCGTTCACTAATTAAGAAAGGGTGTTGGCTCATGCTGTGGACATCCACCTCAAGCAATACTTTGCATCCCCTGGCCTCTAATTCCATCACATTGCTCATAAATTTTGAATAATTCAGCATCAAAGACTCTACAATTAGCATGCAAAGGATTCAATAAGGAACCCCTCTAATTTTTTTTCATAAATAAAATAAAAAAGATTGCATCTCTGGCCCCATTTAACTATTACTTAACCACTAATGACTCTACAATTAGGATGCAAAGGATTTCAATCAGGATTCAGAAACCCTCTCGTTTAAACAAAAAATTAAATCTTAGGACCCCTCAATCAGGAACCTTCCAAGTCTTTGTTTTTTTCTCTTTTTGAAAGACAACATCTTTGGTCCCTACCAAAATGTAAATTCTAACACCAGACAGAGTTAAATTGCAGACAGAAAAAGTAACCAAATTTAGAGTTAATTGGTTGTTTTTATTTAAATTTCCAACTGGGTTGCTTGAAAACCAGTAATTGGGCAGAAATAATGATTAAAAATTGAACTACTCGGACGTCGACACAAGTCAACGGTGATCTAAAATTACCTCTGGAGTCAAGAGAAGTCGCAAACATGTTGACAGCCAAGCCAAAAGCTCTGGCTAAGCAAACGGCAAAAGAGAAGTCTCCTTCTCCCACTACAAGTATCTTCTGATAGCTGCTGTAATGCTTAATCTGTCTCTCAAAGCTAAACACTTCCATTCTTGCTCTCCAACTTTCTCAGAATTCTTTGACTTGTTAATATTTTCCTTCTTGGGTACTTAAAACTGTTTGAACATTTTGAGTCAGTATGTATACTCGCGCATCGCTTGCACTCTTCACACCCTTTTGATTTGAAAAGCTTAGGAAGATGGTAAAGTGTCTGTGTGTGTCGCATCAAATTAAAATAGCATCTCTACTTATCACTTTGGCCTAAACGTTCAAGTTTAGTTTTTTTATTCGTTGCACACTCCTGTGGGGTAAATTCTTCCGTTAGGCCCTCCTTTATAAGACTTCCTTTAGAAGCTGGGGCTTTTTAGGTTCCTTCCTTTGGAAGCTTTCTGTCAATCAAGTCCTACTCATGTTATCAAAACAACTAAACAAGTGCCCAGCCCAGTGGAAAGAGGGCATTGACTTGCAGATAAGATGTCTCAAGTTCAATCATGGCATATTGGTTGTATGTGTGAGAAACCCCCTCCTATATAATTTAAACTATTGCTCGCTTGTTTTTTTTTTTTTTTTTTTTTTTTTTTATAAAAAGAAGTGCAACCTTACATTACATTTTGGAAAAGCCGAAATAAAATGTGCGTGCAGGTAGTAAGCACTAAGTAGTGCCTGGAACTAGAGAGAGTTTTTTCAGTGAGAGAGAAAGACGTCGTGTAAATCTTGTTCAATCTTGTAAAAACCCTCAGAGGCCTCAACCTCAAACCTAGCTCATTCTGAGCAAACCACGTAAATGAATATTTTGTGGAATGGTTTGTATTTCCAAAATGAGGGCAAATTTACCTTATCAAATCCCTTGATGCAACTTTGCTTTTTTGAACCTACTTTCTCAATAAGATGACATGACATCGCACACAATTAACAAAGTGTTTTATTTAGGGAATTTGCCTCAGCCCAAGTAACTCATGTTTTATATAAGGCAAATGTTAGAGATAAAGAGCAACATAAACCATAAAATAAAATAAAAAATCATTTGCCTTATGGTCTTAGATAGAGCAGGGATTCTAGTTCAACATGAAGTATCCAACAATAATAGTGAGGATTGTGATCTTGGAAATCTTCAAATCTTATGAAGATCTCAAATTCTTGTGGCCATGCTTTGGTTTCTTCCTTTCTAAGCTCTCTGAATATATAAGTGCAAGCCATATCTACTATGTCAGCTGACCATAAACTAATGCTCAAAGCACCAGGGTGGAAACTGGAAGCAGCACGAGGGTACAAGCGTTTGGCAAATATGAAGGTGCTTGACTCTCCAACATGAAAATTTTGATCACATTTCCCAACTCCTCTCTTACTTTTGTAACCTGGATAGTCCCATGGTGAAAACTCTTCTTCTTTAACCAAAAACAAGCCAACCTCTTCTGTTAACTTCTCCATTTCCCAGTCAGTGAAAGGATATGAAGTCCTGTGGGTCACATGAATCTCTCCACTTCTGGTCAGCATCTCACTGGAACTCTTCAAGTATCCCATCACCAAATTTTGATGAAACCTGAAAATTCCAAAATCCATGATTTTAATCTAATGGACTTAGAAGATGGGCCTAGAGTCTAGGCTATTTGGGCCAGGCTGACCGGGTATACATGAAGCACGAGTGAGCTCAATTTAAATAGGTCAGCTTGTTCCGATTAGTCCGGTTGCCACCTTTAGTTGTGACCATTGATTGATATAAGAAAACTTACATACATGGTTTCGCTTCAACTTACGGGATTTTGGATTTCTTCTTTTTCGAACCATTCAGCTGATCGGAATGAAGAAAATTAAATATTATTCGATCAAACTGCATCTTGATAAGGAGAGGGAGATAGTGCTAGTGCATGGTGTGCACATCTAGCACATGGAATATTTTGCATCCCCTATTCTCTAATTCCCTCAAGTTTCTCAAAGCCTTTGAATACTTCACCATTAATTCCTCTACAATTAGGATACAAATGAATTCAGTCAGAAACCCAAAATTTAAGCAGAAGAAAAAGAAAGAGTAACTTTTCAGATTTGTTGTATAAATATTAGAAGCAAATACCTTAATGAGGTAACTTTAATATCAAAGTATATATCTTATAATCAGAATTTGTGAAACAGTCAAAGATGATCCAATTACCTCTGGAGTCGAGAAGTTGCAACCATGTCAGCAGCAGAGCCAAATGCTCTGGCTAAGCAAGCTGAAAAGGAGAAGTCTCCTTCTCCCACTAAGGGTATCTTCTGAGAACTTCTGCAGTGCTTAATCCATTTCTCATCGTAGCCAAATAGTTCCATTTTCTTCTCTTCCAACTCACTTGAAACTCGTCCCAATTCTTTAACTTCTGTTCATTTTCCGGTACTAAATTTATTCGAACATTTTCTACAGTACTCTTTCAGCAACGATGCTGATCACATCTACTTATATAAAGAGTTGCAGGCTAGGGAGGCAACTGTTAGGCACACCCTCAAATGTCTCACATTAAATTTTCCATACATGCATTCATTTCCTTGTTTTCTTTCCCAGTCTGTTTATGTTCCATGTGTGCCACTGTTTATGTCCCTTGGTTGCTCGAAAACTAGTCATGCACAGTTATTGTGAATTCATCCACTTTTAAAATATTTGCTATTACTAATTTCTTAATTCTCTAATTACTTAAGATATAACATCTTAAAATCATCTAATCTTTAGTTCTGTAATAAAAGATGGTTGAAAAAGTGGAGAAGATGCCTTGTCCCTGTCTCTTATACTTCAATCCCACATCGACGAGGTAAAAGAGTTTATAACACTTTATATACTTTTGTCCAACACAAGGGATCGGCCAAATTCAAAAGAATCTGAATCAAAAAACACTCTCAAACTCTCTTGGGTCTGGCCCTTTTTGTTTGCTGTATATATATATTTTTTTTCTGCAACTTCCTTTTTAGAAATTCCTCCATTTAGAAAATAAAAATAAATAAACATTAAAACAAAGACATTTTAGTGCTATCTGGGTTGCGGGTGGGTTGGCCATGGCTCTAGGTTTTGAGGGGGTGGGAGCAGGAGGAGAGGGGTCTTGTGGGTGGTCATGGGGAAAGAGAAGTTTTTGGGTGTCTTGAGAAGGTTTGGCTGGGGCTCTGGGTTCAATAGGAAAGCAAAGAGAGAGCGTGCGGCTATACTATTGCTCAGCAGTTCCCAAAAAATCGAGCTGTCCTCTGCCCCCACTTCCTCTGTCACTGCTCAACAGCCCCAATTCCGTTGGTAACTACTAATTGCAATCATTTTTCTATCTTTTTGCCTTGTTTTGACATGGTTTTGAATTTTCGATCGTGTTGTCGACTAAGTGTTTGATCATCTAATCTTTAATTCTGTAATAAAAGATGGTTGAAAAAGTGGAGAAGATGCTTTGTCCTGTCTCTTATACTTCAATCCCACATCGACGGCAAAAGAGTTTATAACGCTTTATATACTTTTGTCCAACTAGAAGAACCGGCCAAATTCATGTGGCCATGTATGAGAGAGTTGGTCAGGAATGTGATCAATAAATATGGTATATATTAAAGGGAGATTCACTATTATACCCAATATGGGGACCCAAATTATAAAAATACCCCATATGAAATGGACTTTATAAACACACCCAAAGCCTATTTACAACATAACAAATAGGCTTTAACTTCTTATAAATTACAAAACTACCATAAATTTCTTAAAACAAGCCCAACCCCAAAATCTTATAAAAATACCCAAAACATTCAATAGGGCGTTAAAGTAATTTAATAATCAATATTAAATTTAATAAGACCAGCTGTCATTTTTTGGGTTTTTTTTGGGTTTGTTTATAGAATTTCAATGGTGTAGGGTTTATTTATAATATTAGTGATAAGAATGGGTATATCACTAAATATCTCTATATTAAATTGCTATGTAAGCCATCAAATTTCATGCTCCCTATTTTTTAGTTAAATTTTAGCTAAAAACATATAAAAGTTATTTTAGGAGCTCTCTATAAACTTTAAACTAATCATGCTCTCTAGTTTAGAGAGTCATAAATGCTATAACTCTTTTTTAATTGGTCCATCTCTATTAAAAAATAATATAAAAAATAGTTAACATTAATCAAAAGTTTGAAATACTCATTAAATAAACCAACATTAAATTATAGGGGGCCACTAGAAGTCTTTTTTCTCTCCTCAGATTGAGGAGCTCCTAGAGATCTCCATATTTTAGGAGGTGGATAGGGAGCATGGTTGGCTTTGTATTTTCCCAAATCCTGCCTAAAATTTGTCTAATAAGGCGATTTAGAGAGGCCATTATGGATGCTCCTAGAGGTCTCCCTCAAATTCTTGTTCTTTTTTCTGGATGCTCCTAGTAAAAAAAAATTTGTTTTTTTTGTAGAGATATTTATGAATAAAGAGTTGAAAACATTTTTTTTTTTTTTTTTTTTTTTTTTTTTTTTTTTTTTCGTAAAACTAAAATATCAGGTTGAAATACAATATTTAGAAAGAGGCTCTTTTAAAGTTAAATAGAAAGATAATTAATAGCAATGTAAAAGGAAGTAGTTTTGAAATTCAACAAAAAAGAACATGTGTTTTGACCGATTTAATTATGGTAATTATTTTCCTAATTTGCGCCTTCTTTTAGACTCCCTTTACTCATACTATCAAACCAACTAAACAAGTGCAGCCTTACATTTTGGAAAAACCGAAATAAAATGTGAGTGCAGATAGTGAATACTAAGCAAGATCTAAAATATTGGAGGTTTGAGAATTATCGGTGGTTCAAAAACATGGAAATATCAATGAAAATATTGGAAAAATATCCATATCGGTAAAATTGAATAAAAACCACTGAAATTGTAAGAAAAACTTGGAAATTTTAATTGAAACTTTAGAGGATGTTTATTTAGTAAGCTATCTATTGTTTTATCACAAAATATTGGAAGGAAATGCATTGCATGGTGGGTTAGGTTGATTTAAGTTGATTATATAGCGAGCTGACAAACACTGTGAGTGTAGAAAATATGTAGTAATTAATGAAAGAAGATTAAGCACACCATATAATCATATATTTATAATGATTTACTATAATATTTTACACTTTATACATTGCATGGTAAGATACATGAGTGACTTAGTACCACATAGAGTTCCTCTGAGATTCAAAATTTTCATTGTGTTCATCATTTCTATGTGTAGAGTACGTGTACCATGAAGAGTAGTCATCAAATGATAAATCCCCAAAATAGTTTTGCATGTAATTAATAACATGTCACCCATATAGATTCAAGATTGGTTGATGTTTCTCATAAAAGCATTTGAAGATTGGGTCTCAAATTCTTTTCATGAGCTGCTCAATTCCATCCCAAAGGGCATCGAATCCCCTTGTGTGCGCACATGCGACTATGGGTTTTTTTTTTTCATTCCATGTACATATCCGAATATTTTCGATATTATAGATAATATTCTGATATTTTGTCCATGTGTTGATGAAGAGGGAGCGAAATCCTCGGATATGAAATTTTTTCGATATTATCGCTGAAATTATCAATACTTATATGATAATTGCATGGATAGATTTCAAAATATTCTCCTCCCAAAAAAACAATAATATCATCTATATTCATGGATATTATGCCGACAAAGGAAACCATGCGTAAATGAATATTTTGTGGAAACGGTTTGTATTTCCAAAATGAAGGCAAATTACTTTGTCAAATCCCGTGCTGCAACTTTGCCTTTTATAAAGTTAATAGGAAATGGACAATACTAGGTTGCACCACCTACTTTCTCGAGAAAATAACATGACATTGACATATATTGCACACAATTAATAAAGTGTTTTCTTTAGGGCATTTGCCTCAGCCCAAATGTTTTCTTCCTTTCTAAGCTCTATAAATAAGTGCAAGACATCTACAATGTCAGCTGACCATAAACTAATGCTCAAAGCACCAGGGTGGAAACTGGAAGCAGCACCGGGGTGCCACTGGTTGGAGATGCTATTACATTTTATAAAATCGGAATAAAATGTGCGTGTAGTAGGGATGATAATTTTCTTCGCGTGTAAGAGTCTTAGTGGGGTTTCGACCCTAATGGGTCAGGTATGAAAGATAAAAAACATGTATGGGGATGGGTTCGGGGAATTTTTCAAGTATGGTGTTTGGGGAGAGGCTAGGATGATATTCTGATCCCCGACTTGAACCTTTCCCATTTAGAATATATATATAATTTATTTTTCATATAAATATATTAGTAAGATGTGTGATGGTGATGCTACCTCTTTAATGATGATCATGTCTTTGAAATGTAGTTTTGACATGTATTAATTTTTTTTTAAATAGTCTAGAATTTTAGTTAATAGTGTTCTTTTCATGTACAACAAACTAGCTTTTTATTGGTTTTTTTTTTCGATAATGGGTAGGGTCGGGAAACCCATTCCCCAGTGATGGCAAGGATAAGGAATCCCCAATTTGAATATTGTGGGTATGAAGGCAGGAATGGGGAAAAAAAATTTAATAGGGATGGGGATGAGAATGACATATCCACCCCCGATTCGACCCATTGCCATCACTAGCGTGTAGGCAGTGGTGCCTTGAAATTGAACATAGTGTTTTTATTTAGTGAATCTTCATAACGTTATAATTGACGCTCCAAACTTTAGGTGTTATTTGCCCATATTTATAATCTTTTAAACCAAATGGCCCACCAAGCAATGCTTTGGGCTTTGTTACGGGTGTGTTTTTAATTTTTAATTGTTAAATTTGTTACAGGAGCACCAATAAAGAGAGGGAAGCAATGGGGAGAGAAACTTTCTTGCTATCTCCATTACAAGAAAGTTTTTTTTTCCAATGGAACTTTCTATAATTTATTATTATTTTATTTATGCCTTTCTCTATTTTCAATTAAATACAAGACACATTTGATGGAAGGAAAAAGTGTACGTAAGACTCACATGTATGAGAGAGTTGGTCAGCAATGTGATCAATAAATATGGTATATGTTAATATTGCCATGTAAGCTGTCAAATTTCAATTTGTTATTTTACATTTGACCTTTCCCTTAGACATGCATTAATAATGATATGGATGGAGATCTCAAATTCTTGTTCTTTTTTCTGGGTCGAGATGGAGATCTCAAATTCTTGTGGCCATGCTTTGGCTTCTTCCTCTCCAAGCTCTCTAAATAAGTGCAAGCCATATCTACTATGTCAGCTGACCATAAACTAATGCTCAAAGTACCAGGGTGGAAACTGCAAATAATGGGTAGAGTCATATGCCAGATTTCAAAATGAAACATTAGCTCATTTGGTGTATAATTAA